ATTTTGATATGGTAGACATTGACGGTAATCTCCCTATGTCCAAAGTTGTGAGCTTCGATATTGTTGCCTTTATGATTTTCCCTACCTTGCTCATAGAGACATTCATGGCAAGGAGTTCCATTATCAACTCCCTCACCTGGTCTGTGTACTTGCCATCTGCAAATGTCGTTATTTTCTCATCTTGGCACAGTGCCAGACACTCTTCCAACTCTCAAACTCGTTGATCAAGGGTGTGAATTCGTTCTTCATACTCGTCTTGTAATTTTGAAGGTGCCTGTTGCTGTTCCCGACATTTTACATCCCTGTACCAGATCTTTTTAATGAGACTTTTGTCACATTTTGCAGATTCCTTTTGTCGTCCTTGAGTCAAGCGTGATTGTTCTAACTTTGCTTTTGTCTGCATTAACTCCTCTTCGAGTTCTTTAACTGCAGTGGCTGATTTGTCTAGTTCTGACTTTAGAGCTGTAAGTTTCTTTTCTCTTCTTTGAATTCGTTTCATCACATTTCTGGTACTCAACTTGGACAGTTTACTGTTGGCTTCCAGAATTTTCTGTTCAAGGTTTTCGAGCTCTCTTGATTTGATGCCACATATGGATTTGTATGACGTAAGTTCGTCTCTCATCGGGTTGAACTTCGCTTGCACCTCTTCAAAACTGGCAAGAACTGATTTGTGTTGTTCTTGAAGGAGATTAAGTTCACTGCTTACCTCGTCAATAGTTTGCTGCAAGTCCTGGATTTGCTTTTTGCTGGCTGTTACCTCTTGTTTCATCTGTGTTGTACCTGTTTCTTGAGCAACTAATTCCTCCTTTAGATTTGATACCTGAAATTCTGACAAACTAAGTTTTTTTCACCATAGATTTCTTGTGGGCTCTTTCTTTATCCAAGGCCTGTCTTAAGCGCCTTTTCCTTGGTGTATCTGGTTCCACAAATTCTGTCTCCTTTAAGTTATGCAAGCTTTTTTCTTGAGTTTTACCCTTTTTTTCATTTTGTCTGATTTTCTTTACTTTTTTTTCCATAGACCTCATGTAGGCTACAACTACTTTAGTGCTTACATCTACACAGTGGCGTCACCAGACTTTTCAGTCTGGGGGGCACAGGGGGGGGGGGGCACCAGCATTTGATGGGGGGGGGGGGCACTTAGGTGGATACGGATCGCCGTCCTGGGGGAGGGGTCTAAGGGGAGGGGGTGCCCCCCTCCCCTTTGGAAAATTTTCGCATACGGAGGATGGGCTAGATGCAAAATGGTGCCACATTTGATGCTCATTTGAAGAAAATACGAATTACTGTGCTTCTTTGTCCTTATGAAAAACCAACTCTCATGATGGGAGTTAAATATAACAAAATATATATATATTTTTTTACCAACCCAAATCTCAGATGGGGGGGCACTCGGGGGGGCACTAGGTTTTCCAGGGGGGGCACGTGCCCCCCTGGCCCCCCCCCCCCCCCCCCTTGGCGACGCCACTGCATCTACATGTCCACTAAGCTTCTTTAAGATTTCGGCAACTGCTGACACGGACAGTCTCATTGTGCCCCCAGTGAGAAAGGACATCAACTCTAGCACTAGGCCACACTTGATGATCTGGAGGAGAGGAAGTTGCTGATCTTCATCCTGGATGAAGTGGCTTGATGAAAGGCCAGCTGCAGCAGCATATGGTCCAATTTCTGGATAGAAAAAATAAAGTGAATAATGCAAATTGAACAACTTAATCCATGACTGAGGGTTTAATGCCTGTGATAAGTTACTAATACTATTCTTTACTTGGTAGTTTTCGATAAAATATACTGCATACTGCTTGAAAAATCTACTGACTAATAGAAACACGAATGGATTTATTTAAGCTCCACATCATTTGCTGTAATTGGTTCCGCCATACCTTTGGTTAAAATTAAATGTGGAAAACACACTTAGGTTTCAGAGTACATTTCTTTACATTATCATATCATTACATGTATATCATTTCCAATTCACCGAACAATATTCTGGTTTTTCCAGTGCCATATCAAACATTTACCAAAAGCAAAAATATATCTTGTCAGGCGCTGTCAACACGATTTTTAAGAGTTGTAAGTGACAGATACTGGTTACTTCTGAAATCATTTGCACATTTTGCAAAAATTCTTAAAACTTACCATTGCCTCAAGTAGCAGATCCAGCAGCTCATGTCCCTGGTCATGTTGTAGCGGTGAGCCCTGTCCCTCCAGGTCTGCCATTCTTAGCTCCTCCTCGTCGATGTTCATTGGCTCCTCTGTCTGGGCATGCTGAATAGAAAGCAAAGACTTAACTTGTTTAAAAACAATACAAGTAAAGGGTCTTGGTCTGTGCCTTTGAAGTAGTTGTTCCATTCCCAAGAATTGCGAGTACATGCCACTGATGTAACACTGAGGCGCACTGCTGCCTCAATATTAAAAAAGAGTGCTGCAACATGTGAGCATGATTCACCAAGGCTGTACACCAAAGAAGAAAAAGCAGTGAAACAAAAATGTTATTGAAATTCAAACATCAGGTCAAAATCTGTAACATATTATATTCTGAAAAAAAGTCCAATGTTTTTTTAATTGTAAAATAATTTGTAATCCCCCTGCCATATAAAAGGTGACAGGCAGGCCTACATGTACTTTGTTTATGAAAAAAAGACTGCCAATTTTTGAGGATCCATAAAAGGATCTAAGCCGCTCCCCCACTGAGTAAAACATTGGTCATAATGTTTGCCAACTTAAACCTCAACAAAAATTAATTATTGTATTTCAAAACTAGATGAAACTTACCCCGCCATGCATGTGCAGTGAGCGGCTTGAACTGCTCCATCCCTGCACACAGCTACCCAAGGTTGATGAGAAGGATCATTGGCTCTTTGAGAAAGTCCCACATCAGCTTGGAAGACCATGAAACCAGTTGGAGACTTGAGGTGATAAATGGTCATTACAAACCCAGCAGTGAAGTATCTTTGAGTTTCGAAGGACTTGTATGCGTGTACAATATCAGCATAGATGTCAGCATACATGTGCTTCACACTACAGTTCAGCATCAACATGAAATCTGTGCTGGTGCTTAGTGCGGAATAGGGTCCAAAGAACACCGGTGCTAGGGCCTACGGAACACTTCCTCCAGCTCTGGTGACCCGTGAACACAGCAGTTTCTACCTTGTAGGAGAAACAAGTGATGTCGTGGTAGCTCGCTGTAAATTCAGTCGATCAGTTGTAGTGTTTGCAAATGATTTGTAGCTATGGCCTGTTTTAAATGACTAACTCTGAAAACACGACCTAAAGAAAAGACCACTGTCAATGGTGTGAGGCAGTTTAAGCAAAGTTCAATGGAGAGACTGTGGTAGTCAAGCGACTAAAAAGTAAAAAACCATCAGATGTTGCAGTGTTCATCAAAGAAGGGAGGCTACTACAATATCTGGTACATGATAATATTGTTACTCATCAAGGGAAGCTGTGAATCTCTACACAGTTAAAAAAAACAATGTGTTCATTTACAGTCATTTCTATTGTCAATTGGCATTACAGGAGTTACTGTTTGTGCACAGCACATTCTACTTGTTTTTTACTCTGTATATTAACAGCAGATTGTACTGTATTTGGTTTGTACACCTACAGGGATTCCACTGTTTTGCCACAAGGATCTAAGCGTTACGATTTTGTAACATGACAGCAAGTTTTCTGTTACAGTTTTGTCCCATAACAACTCCTCTGTTCAAGTACAACTCTCTGTAGCTGAGCGAAACAACATTTCTGTTTCTTAACAGTGGTTATTTGTTTGTGTGCATGCAAGTGTAGATTAAAAACACCCCCTGAAGGGTTCCAACCGACTCCCCCCCCCCCCATCCCCACACTACCCCCTTTTAGTATGCGACACAAGTAATCTTTTTAATGTTAACACATTAAAAATTGATTGTCAACTCTTCATAAATCACACAAGTTAAAACATTGAATTTGGGAACAGGAATTTAAGTTACAATGTAGGTAAAAATATTTTTCAAATGCAGCCTGCAGTAGGCCTAAATAATCTTAAATAAGCAAGAACAAGTTCATAGGTGTATATTAATCGCTTGAATCAATGTATTACTTTAGAAAAGTAAGCACATGTGGTAATGCCAATAATTGCACTATTAAAATTATTTATAGAAATTATAAAATAAATAATCTCATTTTTAATGAAAAAGCCCTCTCCTTTTGAAATTAAATTAATTTTCCCGAATTAATTTGATAAAGACCACAGCTTTTTAATGTTTTATGAGTAGGTCTACACATACAATCAACATATATGCACCTCCAAATTCCATCAGTTTTAGGTAAACCCAAGGGCGGAACCCAATTTGTTTTATTTAGTGAGATCACTATAAAGGCAGACACTGCGTACACTACCATCTTTTCCTAAAAAAAAATTGTCAAATAGTCAGAAGTTGCCAGAAATCGCACCACAGAGCATTTAGAATCCCAAAAAATTTGGGGCCCTGGCGGGCCCGAACCCCACGCCGTAATTTTTTGAGCCACTTTTTGGGGGACCGAATTTTTTTGGGGGGCCCCCCAAAAATGTTCGTTCATCCGTGGATCCGCCCTTGGGTAAACTCAGTAATTTTCCAAACAATTAATTATGCAGTTGTCAAAAGTAATTTTAAAAATGCATCTGAGCTCAAGAACAAACATTAGACCGAGAAAAGTGTGACTGAAAAAAGACCCATAAATTTAAACAAGTACACTGTTAATTAAGGCAGTTACTGTTTACACATTCCATTTCTCTTCAAAGTCTTTGAACCTGGAGCAGGGACGTACAACTTTGAAGTTGGGTCCACCTTGGACATTCTTCTCACGCTGTGAGCCTCTGTCAGGTCTGATCTGGAATAAGAGTCTGTACAACAACAAAGAAAATATTCATTAGAATTTCAACTGTACCTTTAATAAATCAGGTTAGTTGCGCATATTAAGTTTTCCTCAGATATCATCAGTACTGATGAGCTTCAAATACACAAAGTTACTTACTGGCACAGTTACCCTAACAAAAGTAAATGGGAAATCATGTGAAAAGTGACATCTTGCTATTAAGAACCAATGAGGTGTCCGTAAATACGGCTCAAAATTAGGCGAATGGTTGCCTAATGTGGGGGACCTTAACAAGTTCAAGGATATCCCCCAAAATAACGGACTTGTTGTTTACATTTATTTTGTTTACGTCAAAATGTTTTCTTACCAATAATTTACCAATAAAACGAAAGCCTTGAACAAGACTGAAAATTCACCTTTGCACAAATTCAAGAGTTGCTGCGGCTTCCACTGGATACTGCAAGTTGAACACATAGAAAGTTGCAAACCAGAGTTCGATACCCTGGATGAAGCTTGTGGTGTGGACCAAAGTATTCCCCTCCACATAGACCGCAAACTTTGTGCTTAAGAAAGGGTTGCTGCCTGCCACAGAAACAACATTATTTCAGGGGCAAAAAACAACAACTTTAGGTGCAGAGTAAATTGGTGTTGTCTAACTTGTGAGTTATAATTCAGTAAAGTAGAAATACAAGTGTTAACTTATATTTCTGGGGTTTTCCTCTCATGGGGACGTTTGACCATAAAGGTGATTCCTTGTACAATGCATTTGGAAGCGTAGAAAAAAATTACTGATCAATGAAAGGGTTGTTGTTTGACACAAAGATAAACTTAATATGCTCCAGTTCTTTTGGTAAGAAATTTAAACAAAATTATAAATTAAGATATGAAGTCTTTATTTGAGGTAAAGAAATCTTATCAATATATTATGGTGAAAAAGGAGCTAACGTTCAGAATCATTTGAAGTTAAAACAACTTGAAAACATTGAAACACAAAGTTATGAAAGCAAAGCAAATTCTATAGATGGGAAAGCTTAGGATACAGGGTTGACATACATGACAAGAGGAACAGAGAAGAACAAAGAGGTGGCTACAAGAAAGTACAAAGGACAAGGCTTGTGGAAACTGGGAAAAGATCAGAAAGACGGACCGTATAGTGAAGTGAAAGTTTTAAAAAGGTTCCTGAAAAATAACACCTTGAAATTCATTGGCTGTGGTAAAATTGAAAAGTAGGATTGTGGGCCTTGGCAGTAATGGCAATGAATGGAAAGGGGGCTCATGATATAAACTGAAGCACATATGAATATTGACGTAGCCAAACTTTTTAACATTGTTGTTACAATTAAGCAAAATTCAAAACAACATTTCTGCTTCTTGCATTTTAACTTTCTTTCCTTTTATTAGCAACAGGTTTATTCCACTGAATATAGAAAATGCAATACACAAGCAGAGTCAGAAAATAATTTAAAAGAATGTATTATAAGCCTATAGAGTTGATAAGTCATAAGGTTTGCTTTTCTGTGACGTCCAAATAAAACACCCTATCCAAAGTTACTCCTTACATAAGAAACAAGTATTTTACCTGCATATACATGTACCAGCACTGGTGTATGCACATCTATGCCTTCATAATCTTCAGTTGTTGCTGTTTCCTTGCATAAAATGAACAGTTATACATATACTTACAACAGTGTTTCTAAAGATTAATACCCACAATGTGTTACCTTATAAATTGTGCAAATCAAATATGACTGTACCCTTAAGGATACATGCTTCTGCACGATTCATATATTTTAGGATCTAAATGAATCCTTAACAATCAAAAGTGGGTTGGTGAAGCCAAGATTTGACAAACATTGTTCATTTAAACTGACAGTGCTTTATCTACATGTCTTTCTTAAAAAAAATTCTGCTTTGTCTCTTGTAATGAGTCACGGCTTTTTACCCAAAAATGTGATAAATAGAGTGCAACACTGGTTACCTGAAATCCCTTGATGAAGAACTCTTTGTCCTGTGCAAAGTAGTGTGGAAGGGTGTAAAAGTGTCTGAGAGGTTCATGATATCTTTGCAGGGTCATTTCTCAGGTTTTTAATGCTATTATAAGCTGATCATTCTCTTCATTGTAGGACACTACTGAGGATTCTCAGTGTGGAAGGGTGACGACTGCTGCAGCCTGGGAGACAACATGTGGAGAGTATCCCAGGCCCATCAGGTGCTTGAGAGACAGGCAGTTCACCATCACTGTCACAGCACATGCCAGGGACATCTCCACCTCTGAAGAGACAAAAGGCTATGCTCTTTCTAAGTGTTTGATCCAATTTCTATTGTAAAATGTAAAATTTGTATTTTTCTTTGCATTTCACTGATATCGTTATGTATGGGCCTAGAGGAATATTCCTCCATGGTATGGGTAATGTACCGGGTAATCAACATACTTCTAAATAAAGTCTTCAAAGATTATCTTTGTGAGTGCAAGTCAACAAGATCTCTTTAAAACTGATGGCATTGTCTTGCTAAGGTATTTCTTATTAATAACAAATTGACTTAGGAGGAGTCAGCTTTGATTTATTTTAAATTGAATGACAGAAACTACATTACCATTGTTAACTTCACTATGTGCACATCCAAACACTTTGATATTTACAATAATGATCATTAATGAATAAAATATCTCAATCAAAATTTCAATCATAGTGTAAAAGTGTCTGAGAGGTTCATGATATTTCTTTGCAGAGTCATTTCTCAGGTTTTTAATGCTATTATAAGCTGATCATTCTCTTCATTGTAGGACACTACTGAGGATTCTCAGTGGGTCAGCAGATGGAAGGAGTGTTACTGACAACATTGAGAAGACTGCACTCCTTACGAAATGTGACGAGCACAACATGGTGAAGATTTTGGTCTGATATATGATTGCCCGTCATGGCAAAAAGTAAATATAAACCTAATAATTGTAGTTCAGTTTTGCTTTGTATAGACTTTATGCATTGCAGGTACCTCAGAGGGCCTATTTTTAATGAATACCTAACCATTACCCTAACTCCTTATTTGGTGCTGTAGGAGTGCACACAGAAGACCCTGGTTGCTGCTAATAATGTTTTTTTCCCACCCTCCCTTTTATTTAAAATTACATGAACCAACGAAAATGTGGAATGTATAAAGATTAACAAACCAAATCCTACATCCATAGCAAAAAGGATCACCAGTCAAAGGTTGAATGGCTCAAAGATAATGTGGAGCCTGCTGACAAGGTACAGGAGTACATGGAGGTACATGTATGTGACAGCTGACTACCAAAGAGATTGGATCAAGAATAAGGAGAGAACTGTGGCCGAGATTCTTCAGGAATTCCCAAGACTATTGGACAGTAACATGGTAAGATGTTTTCTGTTGATAAATCAGATTAGTTGTAATTTCGAGTCATGGACTAGTATTGGAGTCACCAGACATCAAGTCGAGTCCGAGTCCCCCAAGTCTTCCAGATAAAACAAATGAATGCACTAGAAAATGAAAATGCTGGCCTTTGACATGGATATAGAGGACAGTGCACACAAAGTTTGTAGGATCTTTGAAGATAGGAGTGTACATGCAATTTTCTTGATGTATATTTTCTCCCATATTTTCACTGTAGATTGAAGAGGATTATCGTTTGGCGTACCCCTTATCAACTGACAGTCTGTACAACAGATGGAGTGCCATGGTCGACCCTATCATCGAGTATGGTACAAGAATGTGCCCTTTGTGGAAGGAGACATTGGAGCTTCCACAAGATATGACCCTGGACAAATTGACAAAAGGTATGGGTCACAAGTTTGAAATCGACAGTGCCAAGAAATGTCCAGACAGCAGTGGCCACCACTACTACCAATCACCTGGATAGCATTTTGCCTTTTTTCTCTGAATATTTGAAAGTGCCAGCACAACCGGTACTAGCAAACCAGTGCACCCCCCCCCCCCCCCCCCCCCCCGGCTTCACCTGTGTTATTATGGGTGTGGCGTATATTTCTTTTACTGACAAAAATAATGGATAGACAACTGATCATAACAAGTGTTTATTAAGGCTGGAGACTTTCATCTTTTTTGTCTTTTTTTTTTTTAGCTCTAATGACCACTTGCTCTACATATTTTTCTGTCCTTCATTCTCATAGATCAGAAGTCCATTTTGGCTTTGATCATCGTGCCTGTCGTCTTTGAGGGGAATTCCAAGAAAAGAGCTGCTGGGAGAAGCACTATCAAAGATGTAGTTGGATTTTTCATTGACAGGTATTGGGTAAGTGGATGTTACATTTCTCTAAAAACAAGCAACACTTGCTTTGGTCTTCTTCCTATCTCCGTTTCCAGGGTATTCTTAATTTAAGACTTTACAGGATGTCTGAAAAAAATGTCAATCTGGAGGATGCAAAGAAATTATGAAAAAAGACAATTCTAATTCATTTATAAAGTTGAGCCCAATCGTTTTTCTTTCTTTTGTGAAGTCTTGTTGGATTTGGTTCAGTGGTTTTGAAACAAAGACCCAAAAAGTGGCAAATTCTGAAAGTGAGTAATTTGGATGGTGTTTAAATCTCACCCTCTCGCACAAAACTGATGAAAATCACTCCATAAAATTTGTTATGCTTTGTTCACATGATCTCAAATTTTGGTTTAATTCAATGGGAAAACAACAGAGTCATCAAAAGTGTTTTTTTTTAAGATGTAGGGTATGTATTGTCAAAGTTGGAATGGAGCAAAAGGGAGTGGTGTTTACATAATAGGCTTTGTTTCAAAACCACTGAACCAAATCCAACAAAAACTGTACACAAGAAAGAAAAATGAATGGGCTCTCCAGTTTAATTTGAAAATGTCTTCATCAATTACAAGAATTCTGTATACCCTTCCAAATGGACCTTTTTTGGGGGGGGGGGACACCATGTACATGTACTTTAAAGTGGAGGTACATCATTTGTAAACATAAAAAAAAAAAATGATAAAATTATCACAAAATATCTTATTGCACCCTTAGGAAATGAGAGCCTAAAGCATCCTGTAAATCGTGGCTCCTGGTGTGCTGACATTTTCAATAAAGCTGTATTTTTCAAATGCTGGTCGGCCAACCAGCTTTAGAGAAAACCGATTTTTTTTTTGTCTTAAAAAATGATCCTATTTTTCAAAGTTAGTTATTCTGCATATTCTTTGCATTTAGTTACACACCTGTGAAGGGGTACAACCTGCTAGGCTGATTGTCTGACCTTAAAATTTCCCAACATCTATACATTGCTCCTTAAGTGTGGGTAGTTTAAGTGGGGTAGGGAACCAGACTATAGGAACATGATTGGTTTCCTTGGTTTTTCCAGCCAGCCCAAAGCATGAAACAAGTCAGTTAAACAATATTTGCTAAACCATACTCCTTCCAATCCATTTATTTCTGAAAATTACAGCAAAGGCAAATGTTAAACATTCCCTTTAAGTGTCTGGTTTCAACTCTTGAAGATTTAACCTATATATAAGCTCCTTCGTTAGTGGATTCAGTGTGAGTGCATGTAAGGTAAGCTTTGGTATTTTGGTTTTGAAATGAATGCTCTCAGCTTGTATTTGAAAAGTCATCTGTAGGGAGTGTTGAGAACTAACGTTTTTCAAGAAGATTAGATAGCAAGAAAACAAACTTCTTTTATTATTCTGCAGGATATCATCAACATGCCGCAGTACCTAAAGGAGGTTGATCCAAAGACTCATCCCCAGCCGTTTGTACTGTCACTGAGCAGTGCGATTCATCTGGAATCCAGAAATGCCTTCATCATCATTGAGAAGCAAGCCATACCTCAGCCATCTATCCTGAAAGCAGTTGATGTGTGCTACAAAGCGCACTACATACTGGATTGTGAGTACCAGGGGGCATGGACTTTCTTTGAGAAGTGCGTATACCAGAGCCAATGCTTCGCTGAGAGGCGTATGGGCTTACCTTGCACACAGAAATGTTCTCTAAACACTGCAGCAGACGTGCAGTGCACACAACATGTATTTTCTTGTATTTTTAAGGCTACCAGACGAGTTTGGATAAGTAGTAGATGTTTCAACTTGTTTTGAAACAGACATGTTGTAACATGCCATATCTCCTCAAGACTCTTTTCAATAAAAAAAACCCTGCAAGGTGTGTTAAGGTCTTGTTGAGGAGAAATTATTTGTTTGTTAATAAAAAGAAGAGGGAAAAACAAAACCTTTTTTGTAGAGTCAAATTATTACAACGTCTATGCTTTCCAACTGTTGGAAAAGAAATACCCATTTTATGGTTAGATCAAGTGCCAACAATTGAACTTTTACAATAGATTCATGGAGGTGAATAAGAATTCACCAAGTTGTCATAAGCTGGATACATAGTTGCCAAATTATTTGATAGCAAGATACCAACTATTAAGCAGATGTTCTGAAATTCTCCCAACAAATGAGGAAAAGTGATTAGTCAACAATTGTGTCACTTTTACTGCCAAATAAATAGGAAACCTATCATTACCGACCCTTCGACATACTAAGCCAACCGAAAGTTGGCAAGTACTAAATGACCAACTTTTGAGTAAGTCGTTTGCTTAATTATTTAGTAAAGACAAATGTACCAGCGAAGCATCATTGAACAGTTCAATCAGAACATACTAGCACATCCAAATGCTCCACATACTTCTGCTGCAGATCTACATGATGATGCCACAAATTAAACGCCTGCAGTTTCCTAAATCTGGCTATTGGACAATCATTGGTCGGTTTGAGCATGGAGCTCCATGGTTTGAGTGATGCTGAAGACATGGGTAGACATTTGGAAGCAAGTAGCCGAAGCAACCTGCAAAGCTGTAACTGAATTGCCCTCTGATTTGAACAAGATCAGAGATTGTACCCGTTATTATGAGGCACTAGAGTCCTTACAATTGATGAAGGCAAGTGGTCTCATCTCTAATGAAGTGGTGCTGTATGAGAGAATCGTCTCTGGCCGCTTTGTTTTCACTCCTGAAGGTCGTGACCTATACGCAGTGTGCCAACATCCGAGTCCTATGAGATTGTGTACTGTTTACCTGTGTCCCCTATGTATTTTTGGTTGGAGTTCTTTGCAAGTCCTATTTCATATTGGACACCCATCAAATGGGAGAAAGTCTTGCAGAAGATGGAAATAGCGTGCTTGCAATCTTTCCAGGAACAGATGCAGCTAACTGCGATTCCTCGTGTCAGTGGATATGGAACCAACTTGCTCAAGATGCCGTTAAAGATGAAGGAGATTAGGACATCAAAATGCACCCGACCTGTTCAGGTGAACAACAATTTGTTACGTGTTTGAAAAGATGTAGGTCTACATCGCAGGATAAAACCCAAGGCCGATAGTTTGTTAAAAAAAAAACCAACTAGTTGAACGTCAGTGTATAGCCAATGAGACTTGCAAAGTGAGTGTATTTCTGAGCTATTATGTTTTTGTATATTTATAAAGAGAACCCTGAAGAGAACCCCCCCATGAACTTATTTGTTGGAAGAATCATGTATATTTCACTATCTATTTAAATATGAAACACAAACATCAAATAAATTAGCCATTTTTTTGCCAGAGCCTCTATATAAGTTTGCCCTCTCTCCTTAGACAATGTTTCCCTCTAACGGTATTTCTAGATAAAATATATATATATATGCCGATTCTGCCCCTGTGAAAGTTCATGATCTCATGGACTTTGACGAAGGTTCATATCTTTCAACAGTTCATCATAGAAGTCTTTCAACTGACCTGATGAACTGTAATGAATGTTCATGAACTTCTTGTGCAGTTCATGAACTCTGCTGAACTGAAATCTTGATTGATGAAAATTTGATGAACATTCATGACCAAAAGAATATTAATTTGAAAAATGCTGTGTCCATGAATGTTCATCAAATGTTCATCAATCAAATAGTGTTCAGCAAAATTTATGAACTGCATCACTCGATTAAAATAATATTCCAGATTAATTTCAACATTTTGAAGCATTGGGTAATATTCATGGGTGCATGGCACAGTCAGGGTACGCATTTAAAACCAGTTTTAAACATAATTACAAAGACTCAGGATTATCAATAAATGGCTGTTTACAAGACCTAAGGAGGTTGTAAACCCTGTTAAAGGAAGACCAGTTTACCAATGTCCATCCTGATCTTTTTCACAAACACAATACAAAACAAATTCCACAACTTTTTCCATTTTTTAAAGTCTGTTTTATTATTCCATTCTTTAAAAAATGGTACATGGTACAGTGAGGGGCAGTGACTGTCAAATTATAGTCTTGAATCTTAAATAATAGGTTCATTTGGATATTGTCATTTTCAAATAAATACTTGAAGATTTGCATCTTAGGCCAAAAAGAAAAAGTCTTCGGTCTCTGGTCGGTACACGCGTCGATTTTAACCATGTGCGTCAACGTTTTTTCCCCCCAAATGTTTAGTGGTAGCTACATCAGCGCCCTATGGAAGTGCAGTTAGGACATGGTTAAAAATAAATCTAATTCGTACGTACGAATTACTAAACCGTACGTACGAATTACTAAACCGTACTTGGGCAAGGCACTTCACCCCCACTTGCCCCTCTCCACCCAGGTGTATAAATGGGTACCGGCATTAGCTGGGGAGTAACCTGCAATGGACTGGCATCCCATTCAGGGGGAGTAGAAATATTCTCAGTCGTTTCATGCCAAGGAAACCGGAGATAAACACCGGCCTGATGAGCCACATTGGCTCGGGACAGACTTTTACTCTACTACGTACGAATTACTAATTCGTACGTACGAATTATTAAACCGTATACGAATTAATAAACCGTACGTACGAAATACCAATCCGTACGTACGAATTACCATTTCGATACGGCACTTTAGTGCTGGCGCTGTCGTCATGTAGTTACTCCTGGACCAGATTAGTAACAGTGCTTCTGACTTTAGACCGATATGAAAGTGAATTCTCAGATTTATCAAAAATTTCCCAGAATTGCACGAAATACACTATAAACACTTAAAATCACCTGCAGATTGGTAGGATTTCCTTAATTAAGATTCAAATTACATAATAATCAATCTAGTCACATAGACATGGTTGAATTTCGAGCAAAATGCGGATCCGGCCAAGTTCCCAGTGAACCTCAGCACCTAGACCAGCCAACCTGTCCCATTATGCAAGGATTTTTTTTTTAAGGATTGAAGCTTTTTTAAAACAAATGTACACTTTTTTTGTTCAAATTTGCTGTTTTTCTGTCAAATAACCTTTTTTGCAAAATTCTGCCAGAAATCAGTTTTTAGAAATCACCTCACTACTTGATTATGTTCCATGTGTTGATACATTTTCAATAACCGCACATTATTTATTAGGCCAAGCATTTGCAATGTAAACAGTTTACTATGTCTGATGTTTTCAATGCCCCTAGTATTCCCCTAAACATTTACACAATTAAACAGGAAGCCAAAATAGTGGACAAACATGTACCAGTCGTTAATTGCATTGACATCAAATAAAAATATAAATGCACCACAGTCTTCAAGAGATGAATAGATACATAGATAAGTGTGTCACACGTTGCACTTTGGTTTCAAGGTTATGCATGTACTTTCATTTCATTTGACTACTAGCTTACTGCATGACCGTAGAGGTTTGGACTCCTTACAACATAACTGGATGTATGATCTGTTGATGAACTGAAGAACACTTTTTCCTGAACATTTGAAACGGTGGGGAATCACATCCACCTCTGCAGTTTCTGAAACACATTGTTAATGTTTCCCACCTTCCATATTGAATGTTGGGGATGTACATTTCCTGAAGACATTCACAACAGCGTAAACTTTATTTGTGCAGGGGTGATCCATGCAGGAATTTTCGCAGGGGGTTTCATCAGCAAAAAAATCTGAAAATGTACACAGGTTTTTTTCTCTGGACACAGTTCGCTGCAGCATATCCAGTGGCGGTTGTTGTTGTTGTTCGACTCAGACGATAACCACACACGTTAGTGGAGCTGTTTGCATGAAAGTTGAAAGGTGCTTTTCCTCGACTTTTACAAGTAAGATCTCGTAAAGATAACTTGTTTGTTGACGAGTCCGACACTGCCAATTTAAATTTCGTTTGTATCAAAAATAACAGGAGATAGTGTCCGGAAATTGGGCACGAAGTTTGTGGAAGGCCTACGGGATGCTACGTGTGTTAACTAGAACTGCGGCCAAGCCCAGACTTCGGTCACCGATTTCTGTTCGGTCTATTTTCTTGTGTATTTTCCGCACATAAACGAGTTAAAAGGTAGAGTCCATCATTTGCAGCCATCCGAAAAAAACTGTGTTTTGTAATTGTTTTCATTTTGTGGTTTATCGATATTAGAATTGGGCTTCATATAAACGCGCTTTCTTCTTCTGCACTTTTTTTTTTAGATCGAAGTGTCGTAGCGCCGTAGGACTACAGTCATGACGGTCAGGTGTCGTGCCAAAAACCGTCCGGTGTCACGGTCTCACTTCTCCGGCGTGCTAGCTTCTCCAAGTTGGACATTTCGCTTCAACACGCATGCACAAAATTGCGCAGTAAAGTGCTCACTTTCGCCAACTTTATTTGTGTGCTGAGTTGTTTGGGGTTGTACTGGTGCACTTTTGTATACGTCACAGGGTACCATCGAATCCAGACCTAGCGCGCAATTAACTACAAACCAACATCTATACTACAATTCAAGGAATCTCTGTCTGTCTGTCTGTCTGTCCGTCTGTCTGTCTGTCTCGCGTGCGTTTTTTGCACGAGCAGTTCTCCAAAACTCTGCAAGTATGCAACCTATACCAGCGGCAAAGCAATTTGCGTTTCCCGAACATGCACATTTTAGACGGGCACTGCACTAGTCCTAATAATACCCAAAAAGACTTGAAGGATGCACATTTATTTTAAACCGTGGTTGAACGTGGTTGCAAATTGGACATGCATGTGATGGACCACGACCAAGCAAGGAACACGGTTCTTAATTATTCCTCAACGCACACACAATGACGATGGGAACACAACTTCAGAATGCTTGCAACAGGAAGTGTTACATAACGCATTCTTGGGTGTCCCCACTGATCTCTATATAAAGACTGGATAGCGGACAGTAGACTTTGCATATTGACCAATTCGCCCCCGGTCTCACGAAGATGGCCGCGTATAATACGAACGTTCTACGCGTAAATACGCGCGCGTTGTATCAACAGTTGACGCGCA